CCCATTGTTTGAGGTCCAAGCTGGCTTCTTCTACATATGACAATTTTAAAGAAGATGGGCTGCACCTTCCGATTTTCACATAATGAGCAGAGAACCAAGACTACTAGAAACCCCAAACTTCACTCAATTTTTTTTTTCTTTTTACTGAAAATTTAATCACATAAATTGTAAGTAGAAGAGCTTTATTTCATTCTTACAGCATTCTTACTCCATCCCTAAGCTTCACAGTGTAGAAAAAAAAAGTAACAGATGGGCTGTCTAGTAAACCTTCATGCAGTCAGAGACCAGATTTCCTACTGTGTTGTTTCTGCTTCACTTGATGTAACTTCCCAGATTCCAGTCAGGGTCCTACGCTTAAGTTCCAGTATTAAAGTAACTCCTGTGGAATGATGCCACAGTTTTGTTTCAGGTTAAAGGAAAATTTCTGAGCATACCTCAGATATTCTTCCAGCATCTGAATAAACTGGAATAAATATGAATGAACCCTTCTCTGAAATAAATTATAAACTGTAACAATGAAATAAAGGCTTCAGTCGTCTAGCCTGACAGACAGCACACCATTCCTTACCATTAACTCATTTTTTTATAGTTATATACAAAGTTTTAACATTGCTCAAGAGAATAAGGTTTCCCTGGATTGTGACTCCTAGCTTCCAAGATTTCTTAGGGAGTAACTGTTTATAATCTGCCAACTTGTGGTAAAAATATTTGGTAAAGAATATTCAATAGACTCTACAATGGTCAACACTTCACAAGACAGAAGCAGAGAAAGGATAGGGTAGAGACTTGATCTTAGCAGTGGGTATAGCTGGTTGGAGTTGATGGTACCAGTAACAAGACCATTTAAAAAAAAAACAAACAAAAACAAACCAACAAAACAAAACAAAACAACAACAACAAAAAAAACACGATGATCTTAAACTCCAAAGAGCTATTTTAGCAATAATAATTCATAATCATGCTTTGTGCAAGTTTAGTTTGGAAAAAAAAATGCATTAAACACTCTTTACAAGGCACCAAAGCCTAAGGCTTCTGGTATTGACTTCCATCTCCAATTCCGGAATGCAAGCTTTCACTTAAAATGAAGCACAGCAGTAAGGTGCTGGAAAGGATTAGTTGCAGGTCCCTGACAGTCACCATACAAATATTTTGAGATGCATAATCCCATCACAACTTTGTTCCCTGTTTGTGACTCAAATATGTAGCTTTGATTCTGAGTTTGTGTGTGTGTGCATTATGAACACATATTCATAATTTGGGACTGGAGGTCAGAAGGAATCTTATATCAAGAAGTCCCAGTGTGGAGTCACAAAAAAATTGTCTTAGCTGTCTTAATTTAAAACAGCACCAAGAGGTACTTGAATGATTACCAAGAGCTTTGGAGACTTAAAAAGACTTACTGTCATACAGATACATTAACACTAGAAAGAGTTGAGATGAGTAAAGAATCTAAAATGGAGGCTTCATGCAGACGTAACATTCTGTAGCTTCTGTTTCTAAAATATAATGGAAAATTTAGATTGCGGAAGAGAAATGGTGGTGGTTGGTTTTGTTTGCAAGTGGCTCCTGAAATATTTCAAGGAGTGGAAATCAGCTGAAACTGTTAACAGAGAAATCACTGTGGAAAGTACCACCTAGACTTCCTACATGAGAGCAGCGTTGCAAAAATATTCTTTCACTGTTAAATATAAGCTCAGATCTTGTTGATATGCCTGAGATGGCTTGTTACGGGCAAGCAGGAATTCTGCCAATGGAGATAAGGTAGACAACTGTGAAATCCGCTATAAATAAAGGAAATGGTCTACAAAAGCACTGTGCCATGGGATTTAGCCTTCTGTAACTGAATCCAGTTGGTGGGTAGGGCAAGTTAATAAATAGATGCCAACTATTTTTTTTGTGTCGCACTTTTATTATACATTCCAGGTTGCATCACTGCCTCTCAGATTGGTGAGTTAGCTTGAATACTAAATATATACCTGTGGAGTGATACTTCTACTCATTGACAGTAGTTTGTAACACCCTGTTTCCTCCCCTCAGCCTGCACAGGAAGAGAAGGGGAGAGCTGGAGGACAAAGTCTCTCAATCTCCAGCGACAGAGGCTTGCAAAATTATCTTTGACTTCAGAGGGGATGTGATCTGTCCAAGTACCTAGTATCTTTAGTAGCTTTTGGGACCAATGTTTGTTAGGTCCCAGAGTGTCTGTTTTTACTTTTCATCCTCAGCCACTGAGCAGCCATATTCATTTTCAAAGAAAGAGACTAAAAATCCCAGAATTAATATGTTTTCAAATATCTTAAAACAACATTTACTGTGTGCCATTTTTGTGTAAATGCTGTTTTCTTGTATCCAAGAAATAGACTATCAACTGCATATTTTAAAGCCTATATAGAATACAAGGAATTGCACATACATTTTCCACTACTTGTAAGACATGACAAAAAGTGAGTGATCAACAGGGTTTTGTCCCACTCGAAGTCAGTGGAAAAACTTCAGTTGACTAGTGTGATTCAGACTCTAGACTTTCAGCTCTTTTTTGTAGTGATGAAAAGTGTTTCTGGACACCCTAGACTTGTGACTACATGGCTGAACGTGTCTTTTCAGCTTTTAGAATGTACTATATACCATGGCAAGTTATTAATCACACAGAAAGGTTAATCTATTGGGAAGTCATTGGATAACTATATCCCTAAGTATGAAAACTGTATTAGATAAAGAAAACCACTTGACCATACCTGTTGTTTTCACTGCTGAAGGCTATCCTAATGCTGAGTGCCTTGAGAAGAGCTGCAGTAGCAACAGCTGCTGGCAAGAAGAGTGACAAAGCTTGTAGGACTAGGTTGAAAGGCATGGAGAATGACCTTTTGGGGACTGGAACTTCACCCTGTATTACTCTTAGTTTTGTCTTAGGCTTTTTCATATCAGTGTTCAACCTGAGCACTTGGTTCAGACCCATTGTTCTAGCCAGGCAACATCTTGCTGCCTACTGTCTTTCATCCAACTGTTTCATGTACACAGATAGATGTCATCTAGCATCCCAAAATTTTGCTATTTCCTTTCAGTTTCTGGCCAAAAAGTGGTGTTTAACTTTTCTAACTTATTGAGAGAGTAAGCATGTTTGATTCAATGTGTTGCACAAAGGGTGTTGAGACAAATTCACATGAATGAAAATTTATTAGCAGGTTCCATATATGGCACATATCAACAATGACAGCGAGAAAATGAAATGAAATGAAAAAAAAGAGGAGGGATGGGAAAACTCTCCCTGGTGGCAAGCTGGGAAGAGAAGCTGTGGTAGGTATCCTGAAACAAGCATCTTCCTCAGGCATCCTATCCAGGGCACTTTCCCTACAGCAACTACATAGTTTTGATCAAGACCCACTCAAACTCCCTACCGATTGTTCCCATTTACAGTGCAAGCTTTGAGCAGGAGCAGATGCTGCACAGCTGGTTGCTTGGTGAGCTCTGTGCAGACATATTGATTGCTGAGTCCCCTGATGTAAACCAAAATCTACAACCTGTTGGGATTCTAGAGGGCTTTCTGCGAGAGAATGGCCATGTGAGCAATCCTGCTTGAGAACAAGACTGATAAGAGCCTCAGCTGAGCAAGAATGCGATAAGGATGTGACCCTGAATGAGGGGGGAGAAACTCAATGAGACAAACAACCCCCAGAAGGGGTTGGGATGGAAGAGGAAGTTACACAAGGCAGGAAGCCTGGCAAGGCTGATGGGGCATTTTTTATCCAGTCATAAGAAGGTTTAAAGCGCGGGCTAAGTTGACTGTCCAATCTTGAGGACTTGTACTGCATGTTACTCACGTGTGCAGAAGAACATTATAAAAGGGCTTTCTTAGTTGTAATAAATGGGCATTGCTTGATCACATTGGTTGTGTGCATGCTCAGCTCTCCTGCAACAACCAAAGGGTAGGTAACAGGGAAAAGGAGGGGACAATTCTTGCTCTGCTGGCAGTCTCTTCCCCTGGAACCTGCCACACCAACACTATTGGGGTCTGCAGGCCACAGTCCACCTTCCTCTGGGAGGGCCCTGTGATCTCAGGGAACCCTGGTGCCTGGTGCCAGTGCACAACCTCCACAGTGTCAAGACTGTCATTTGTCCATTTCAGTGCCATGCAGCAGAAGATCAGGAGTCCTCTGTGTGTCCCTTCAGGATAAAAACCATCCAACCTTCCAACCATACTCTGAATGGGACATGCCAGTCACTGACCATGGGGAGGACAGCCTGCTGCAGGGAGTTTTGTTTATGAAAAAGGATGTGGCATTTGGAAGTAGGCAGAAAACATTGTTTGTGACCATGTGTACAGCTGTATGTTCTCATTAAAACTGACAGTAAATTTATCAACAAATGCATCAATACTCCTGAAGTACTCTGTTACCTGGTGTGAAAAATACATTAATAAATCCTACACATTATGTAATTGGATGTTGCCTCATGTTTAAAATTACAACACAAAAGTGGAAAGCTATGTCTCACGTTAAACCTTTGCCTCCCTTTTTCCAGATTGTGTGCAAGAGTTCCCTAAAAATTCTTCTCTGCACCAAGGTGTAAAACACTGTGTGGAGAGTCTCCCCTGCAGAGCAGCGGACACGGTGGTACTGCTTCTATGCTAAATACTTGTGTTTGATTCATAATGCACACATACTGATATTTGTGGCTATATAAAAGAGCTGCAGAAGGATAGCATCATATTTAAAGTGGATAGCCAACTTGAGGGGTTTATATTACAGAAATTCCCAGAAATAAAACAAAGAATTTTGAAATAAGTGCATTTCACTTATCCAGATATTGAAATAACCATTTCACAACTAACCTGTTAGCATAGAACCAGTAGTAATTCTGGACAGGGTAACACAAGGAAGAAGGCACTTGACATGTAATCCTTGTATTTCCTCTTTTCATATGAAATCCTGTTTACACAGGCAATCACACAGACAAAAAAAAAAAAAAAAAAAAAAAAAAAAAAAAAAAAAAGAGCACTTAATACTTGTCATCTTCTCCTTCTTAATGCATCAAACATAACAATATCAATATAAGAGAATGGCTTCTAACCACACATTTAATTTGATATAAAGTAAAAAATTGAATTCCAATGAGCAAAAAAAAAAAAAAATCAACATAGACCTTTTCATTTTTGCTCTTGAATACCTTTACTTCCAACACTGTATGTTAGTAGTCCCACATGATCTTCTGTCCAGACTAGGCTGCTGCTTTATGCCAGCTGCAGAAGTGAATTGACGCAGTCTGCATGGCAGTGTACTTATGCGAGATGCAACCTGCTTGGCCCTGGTGACTGTCAGTACCAAATCTCTGATAGAGGGTTTGATCCACTTTATGATCTTTCTCCAAAACACTTCTTACTAACTTCAAAATTTTTGGTTGATTAAATTTGTGTCTGCTGTCTCCTATTTAAACAAACAAACAAAACAAAGAAAAAAAACCATGTAGAAGCGCTGCATTTGGTATCTATGCATGAGCAGAAGGCCTTGATTTATTTGCTCATTTGTTTGCATAGGTCTAACTATGGTTATTTATCTAGACTATTTATAATTCATAGACCTATGTAAACACTGGCCACACACACCATCAGTATGTTTGCAGTTCTGCATCTGCAGTGATGGATTCTGACCAGCCTTTCAAACATATTTTGTGGTCATTTCATTCTAGAAACATCATCTTGCTGATTAAAGAATAAATTAGAGATCTTGACCCCATATTCAGTCATTCCTTTATATAAACTGACTTCAGTGTAATAATCAGGAATTTTAATCTGCCCATAGGTTTACAGGGTGTAACAATTTTTACGAAGAATTAACTATTTTCAGCTGAACCTGTGACACTCATACCAGGTGAACAAACACAAAAAACATATATACAGAAATAAAATAACTGTTCCTTTATGTCTTCTTTTTACTTGTTTTGATCATAAAATACCAAGATCTTGCTGTAGTTTTCAATCAATATGAAATGAATTTTGTTTATAAATGAATATTCTGGTTTGCTGCATTGTTTTATAATAAATAAACAGCAGCAGCTAAGTATAGAAAGATTAATTTTCACTTTTAGCCTTCACTTGCAAGAAGTTATTCTCCAATTACTTATTAACTGTGGAATAATACTGAAATTAAAATGAGAAACCCAGTCAATATTGCATGCATCAAAAATGATGAAAATCTTCACTTACTGAGAACTGTGAAATGTTTATTGGTTTTTAGACATAGAGTCCTCCAGGGAGTGCTACAAATCCACACAAACTCACTGCATCTTCGATGTTGCATTTGGAGCGTTGATTTAGATGAAATACGTGTAAAAACTCCTGTAGGCAGACAGCTCTCTAGTGACTATCCATCTGCAAAGGCTCAAGAACATAAATTATTCCAGCATGAGTCTGGAATAAATTATGCTCACTTCACAAACTCTAGATCTGCTTGATGCACACAGTAGTGAAGGAAAAAATGTTGTGTTTGAGTTAGAGAACAAGAGGGTTTTTTAACCATCCTGTATATATCTATGTAATTTTATACTGAACTTTTTTCTAAGTAGTGTAACTTTAATGAAACCAACAAAGGAAAGAGGACTTTTGAAAGTAGGACATGAAATTACGTGCGACTGGTCTGGTACAGCAGGTTCCCTGTGCTACATCAGAGACGATGGTAAAGCGGCTGCCTTCTCTTCAAGAAAAATAAAAATCAAGCTTTTTTCCCCACAGCATCCTACTTAGTCCAGATCCCTTAAAGCTACTCTGTATCCCCCACAAACATAAAAGCACTGCACTTTCTCTTCTAGGTCTATCTCATAAGACTATCAAAAAGACTATTCAGATTGGATCAAACCAAAAAACAGTTTCCCATATTCTGTCTCTAGAAAACCAGAGCAACTATACAGCGGTTCATCACTTGCTGCTATTATACACCCAGATATTGCATATGACCGCTGCATTTAACACCTGTGGCAGGGCTTGCCTTCCATGAATTTACTGTGTATCTTCTGAGTTTACCTGTCTTTAAGCCTTTGCAATATGTTGCGTCAATAAGCCTCACACTTCAGCTACCCAGTCTGTGAAAAAATACTCTCATTTGGATTGTTCTCCAGTAATTTCTTGTGTACCACTTGTTCCTGTGCTGTGATAAATAATTATTAATCTTTCCTATTTACCATCTCTGTGTCTTCTGAAGAAATAACACCCTACATTAGCCCTCGGTCATTTCTTGTCCACACAGAAATCTTATTCCATTTATACAGTCCTCATTCAGAAGCTATTCAATGCGGCTGACCATTCTTTCTGCTTTTCAGTGTATTTTTCTAGGTTTACCTATATTGTTTCTGAGATGAGGTGACTGTACACCACAGGCTATGTATCAGCAGAGTAGTTTCTGATTTGTTCTTTAGTATTTTCCTAACAATTCTTAATTGTTTTAGCTGCTGCTGAGCACTGGGCTGACATCTTTATCAGGCTCTCCAAGGTGTGTTTCCTGAGATGTAATAGGTAATTTAGTGCTCATTGCAATGTAGATGTATTTGTTTTCCCTACATGCATTGTCATTATTGAACTAGAATTTATTGTCTTCTGTTTTATTATCCAAACAGTCAGTATCAAGAGGGGCTTTTTTAATTCTTTGCATAAGCTTTAGTTTTTCTATCTTGAGTAATTCAGTGTTAATACAGTTCTCAGCCCAGATTCCTGTGGGTCTCCAGCAGTAACTTCCTTTCCTTGAGAAAACTCACCATTTATTCTTTCTTCCTTGTTTCCCTCATGCTTTTCCCAGTGGTGAACATGCCATGTCTATCTATGAAATCAAGCCTGATTTTGCTGTCATATTGTACTACAAACACTATTTCAGGCAATGAAATATGTAATTAGCCATCCTTGCCATTTGCCTTCTGTTTTTCTTTCCACATTACTTCTAGATATATTTCTTATGCCTTTTTTGCTTCCATTTTCTGTCTCTACCACTTTCCCTCGCTGTCTTGTGTTCACTTCCTCATCCATCCACTTTCCAATCCAACATCTTCTTCCGTTCAGCTTTCCTGCAGGCTCAACCCTTTCCTCACTACTCACATCTCTTTATGCAGGCTTATTAGAGCTCGAATAACTGCATATGTGTTCATCACTTCTCTCCTTACCCTATCCATCCCTCTTCCACTAAAAATGGAGGCAATAAGATACAATCTGTGCATGAGCCAAAGTCACTGAACTGAGTGGAAGTCTCTCCACTGGAGTAAGTAGAGCTGGAGTCAAGTTTCATGTGAAAGCAGGCTGATTTATGTATGAGGCTGGTTTACAGACAGACACTGTGCTGCTATTCCCAGCAGAGTTAGGTGGTAGGGAATATGCCATGTCTCCTCTTGGGCTGTTCAAGAAGGTGATTTGGACTTCAGGATAAGATGGAGAGATTTGCCCAAATCAGTTGAGGTGCACCAGGCTGAATCATACTCCTCCTAGCTCATCTGCTTCTGGTGAATTGCATCCAAGCAATAGCTCTCAGAGCTATGTAAAAATTCGGCTAACTACACATTTCCTAATATTTGGTGACTAGAGGACAGCAGAGCTGCCAGCACATATGGAGAAGAATGAACAAACAAGTGTGCCAGACAGGAAGTTGATTAACTCACCTGGGCTTGCTGCAGATGCCAGTAGAGGCAACAACAGCAAAACAGGACACCGAGCATTGCAGTCACCAGCTTGGAGAGCTGTGTTGAATCTAGCTCTTCAGTTCCATGACTCCTAAAAAGAGGGAGCAACCACAGTACTTAGATGTTAGCATGATCATAGCAGAGATGGAGCAGCCATCCTATCTCCCTTCTGTCACTGATGACACCTGTGGAGAAACACATGTTGGGACACTGTAGTATAACTTCCTTCCCACATGGTGGGACTTCTTTCCTCATACCTCAAGTCTTGATTCTTTTAGCCGCCCTTTTTGATGCCAGCCATTCCTTTTCTTCCTCATATATGCAACATCCTTGGTTATCCAGGGAGCTCTGTGGGATTCAAGATTCCCAGTATGTGGAAAATTTTGTGAGATTGGAATATGTAGTGATGGGTGAGAAAGTGGAAAAGATACCTTCTGTGATGTGGCTTGTTACTTTTACCATTCTTGAAGCCATTTGTCAAGCACTAAGTCAAATAACCAAGAACAGGACATTGTTCTTTAATCTTCACAATGAAAGAATCCTTACTTTTCATCTATCTCCACCAGACTTTGCTCTTACATTCACAAATATCTTACTCCTTCAATGGCACTGAAACCAACAGGGATATTTGTAGGGTGAGATATTATTCCACCAAATAAATACTCTCACTGTGAGAAAGAGTGGTGGACTGAACATATTTGGCACAGTGAGGCATTCTGCAGAACTGGGGACAGCATGGGGGAGTGAAGGTGCTGCAATCAACTATTTCAGTGAAAATAACTGAGTGAGTCAGCTGTTATATGTTAGAAGTGGTAATGGCGATAATGACCACACCTTGTGACCATGCTGCTCTCCTTTTGCCAAGGATTGTTTTCTATTGGGTGACCTCTTCTTCAGTGTAGTCAGGATATTTCTGCTGCTGCAATGCTTTCACACAAAGGTTCTTTATGCCAAATAACATCATATCTTTGCCGGAGGGTGTTCATGGTTATTGTTTCTTCAATGCGTCTCTAATTAATTTTGCCAAAGCCACCCACCTTCTGCCATCTGTCAGGTGGCAAGCAGAAAGAATGTGGCTTCGTACAATTAGACATTTTGAAGGACAGAAGAACATGTGGTAAGGTGAGAAGGATATGGAGACAAATTCAGATCATCACCTCACAATAGCTTCCTTTATATGATAGTTTACCAATCATAATCTATAGTATATAAACTAGGGAGTTAAAAACCCACAGATTAAGAAAGTGCAGCAATGTTATGAAGCAAGACATACTAAAGCCCTTTTTGGTCTAATATATTAATGACAACAATAATACAATTATTGTAGTGATTCTTTTTAACCAGTAAGCTGAGTCCTTATAGACAAAGCTCACAGTTTATACTTCCCATAAGAATAAAAGTGCATCATCTTTTACCTTAACTGTTTCCACATTTCCATATGCTTCCAGTTATTTATCTTAATTGTGGAAACCAAAAATGACACAACGTGTGAAGAAATGGCTCAACCTGCCTTCCATAGGCCACACTCTATGTTCTTTGCACTCTCCAAAGCTGCCTTGCACTTTGATTAACTTGACTAGGAGTTATGTTTGTGTATATACCCACATAAAATGAATATATAACATGGCTTCACATGGCTCCACAGCACTGAACTGAAATTCCAGTAGAACTTCAGCTGTGGTATTAAACATGTATTTACAACTGAATGTGAGTCGCAAGAAAATATTTAAGAGTCCATAGAAACTTTTCTTTAAAGTATGCAATCTCTAAATATTTGGGTTTACATGACGATCCTTTAGTTAGGATTTATTAGACTGTTTCATATTTGCCTTTCTGTTTATTTTGTAAAAGTATACTTGTCTAGTGCACATTTTTATGCCAGCCTTGCTTTGCATTTTTACAGTCTGCTAATTAGACCATTTTAACTAATTTGTTTGCATTTTGTATGAGCAAGTTGGGCTTTTGGATTGACTAATGTAATTGCAGCCAGTTTCTGCCAAATACAAATTACTCTTTCTAGTGTGAGCTAGAGAGAAAAGTAAATATTTAATAGCCATCAATACCCTTGCAGCATTTTAGAGTGTGCTTTTTTCCTATGGAAAGTTTAAATAATTTCTTCAGTGCTTGATTGCACTTTAATGTTAAGAAATTATTTTTTAATCTTCTTTGAAATAATAATGAATTAGACATTTTAGCATCTCCATAAGGGTTTTACTTCTGTGCACTTTGCAGTTTTAAATTTCAAGCTTTAAGATCTGGTACTTTCATGTTTGAAGTTTATTTGTGTAGCTTTTCGTATATTGAATACTGTCTCCTGAAACCGTTTTCCTGGAATGTACTTGGGTTTTAATGTTTCTAAGCGGATGAAGCCAAGTCTTATATCAATGTGGAATTTTTCTTGCTTTCCCTTTTTTTATTCTTTTTCAGAAGAGAATAGGAAAAGAGAGGAACTTGTTACCAAACCTCAGCATTATTGGAATCTGTCTTTTGAACAGCAAATCTGATGTTCTTCATCTCTGCAGAAGTGGACATAAAGGCGTAGGTACACCAGAGGCTTAAGCAGGTTAAAGATCCTCAGTTTCCAGCCTTAATATTCCCAGGTACTTGCCACAGTCCAGACTGGGAAGACCACCTGCCTGCCAGGGCAGGGCAGCACTTCTCCTTGCCCTCTCCCTTTCTCACACCTCCCTCCTGCCATGACCTACGCAGAGGACAAGGGTATGTCTGCCTCACCCAAGGGGCTGCCTCCGAAACATTATACACAGGCCACACTTCTCAGATCAGGGCCAACATAAAAGTGCTGAAGGGTGTTGCTTGCTGACAAAATTTAGTGAGGGTGCTCTTCACCCTGGTGTACCCGTCTGCACAGCATCAGTGCGTTTTCCCAGGCATATGAGTGTTTTGGCCTCTAATTTCTTTTTCCACATGAAGCTTTCGGTTGCATGGGTCCCATAAGTGCCTTAATCAATGGCCTAAGCAGTGGGGCTGCTCTTGCTCTCTGTCCCCTAGTGAATGTGGGAATAATCCATGGAAAGCAGAAGGATTTGAGCAGGAGTGATAGGTATTGGTTATCTGGTGCTGGGGTTGTCTTAGTGCGTTTCCAACCTTACCTTACCTCTTGTCAGTCATCTTAGGCAGCTGTACCAGTCCCAGAATGCTGTGGGAAGGAGAACCTGCCTTTGGCCATCTTACTGTTTAATCTGACAATGCTAAAATAATAACAGATCTAAGGAGAGAGAAATCAAAACACCTTTTAGCTGAGCACTTGACGTGTCAGTACTCATTTTCTTCTCAGATAGGGTGCAACTTCAAGTAATATTAACCCATCCATAATTATTAATTAAGAGGGTGAATACATATTCACTGCCAAGTCACAACAAAGGTCCATGTCATCATCAGGCTATATAACCAGGTTCTGAATTTCATAATCACAACAACCAAATTCTCTCTCTCTGTCCCATTTCTGTTACACCAAATGTGTCACAGAGCATGAAACAACATGTTTTTGATGGATGCTCTATCATTGTCTCTCGTTATCTTTGCAATCCTCCCACTGTGCACTATGAACAGGTGTGTTGCAAAAGGTAATTTTTAGTTTCTGGTATTTGCATGGCCTAGATGGATAGGGAGGTGATTTGATCAGTGAACTAACCATACTCTTCTGTGGAAGTTACTATTAACAGGCAGTTTTACCTGCCCTCCTGGATAAGTTTAAGTATGGCATTCGGTTAGTAAACCCAACACTACCATTCTAGGATATCTGCAAGTCTCACAAGCATCAGTAGCAAATTTGAGCATAACTCAGTGACAATTTCTCTACTTGGATTAAAACCTCATTTTTTAGATGTAACACTACATTTAGTGCTAAAATTCAATACTGAAAATCTGTAACAACAATAAATGTAATAAAAGTAGATTTAAAACTACATTTTTGGTGCATATTTTCGATTATGGACATGGCCACTCTTTGGGAACAGTGCTCTGTGGTCCTAATTCATATTAATTTCTTGAATAAGTACTTTTTGTTCCTAGATACAGAGAAAAATAACTTCCTGTGTATCCTTATATTTGTTATTTTGGTAACAGTGTTTTAGTAGCAGAGAGGACAGATTATCAAATGGATTTGAGTATGTACGCAGTACTTTTCTGAATGTGCCTATCTGAACATATATTGAAAATCTGGTGTGATTTTGGTACCCCTGAGAGGAGATAAAAGAATTGAAGCTTTGAAGATGTTGGTACCATCACACAAGGACTGTCTGAAATAGCTGCACACATTGTCTTTAGAAATGAGAAAGAAGTTAGGTTATTTTCTCACTTCTGACCATTCTACAATTTATACATTACTATGTTCTCTTGCTGCTCACACAAGTAACACAATGGCACTTCAGTCTTAAGCAGTTGGCCTCCACACTGATATAGAACTGAACATGTCAGCTGATGCTTACTGTAATGTAGAGAACAACCAAGAACTGGACTGGCTCTGTTTTAAGTCATAGATAACTGAAATCTATTTTAATCATTTCAGTCACAGGAACGTATTTTCTAAATGTGTTCTGTCAAAACATCCCAAAAAGTGACATGTAATCCAAGGCACATGTTTTATTCTTGATTACATTTGCAAATTCAATCTCAGTCCTTTCAAGGCATTTTGAATTTAAAATAATATTGTTAAACGCTTGTGTTCTCAATACTTAACTAAAGCAGTGCCACAGGAATATTCAATAAAGGACTTCGGCACAATAATTCATTTATTCACTGAATACCCTGTCTTAACAACTGATAATTTTTACAGATCTAACCCCTCTCCGGAGATTTAATCATTCTCTAAAATGTAACGACAAGAGATGAGATGTTAAAAAAAAATATAGTACGTTCCAAATTGTTCAATAAATAAATATCTAACATAAAATACAGATGTTTTTCACCAGCTGCATCACAAGACCTTTCAGTGTCTGCTCTTGGCTTATAAATTCTCTATTTCTTTCAAAGCCTATGACAATCAATGTCTTTACAATGTCAGGTCCTTGTAAGACTGTGCAGGAAAACAAATCCCAGACATTTAGTTTTCTAAAGCTACAATGGTGTTTCTCACACTGACTCAGCCTGAACGCTTCTGCTGTGCTAGGTTGTATCAGTAATTTTCAGCATTTCATATTTCAATGCAAAATTATTTGTTTGAAATTTTGACTATTTCTAAGCCCAGTATTTCTGTGCCAGAAGAACAGTTTGAATGTAAGGGATGATGCATGGGTGTCTGTGTTGCTGTTAGACTCCAGCAGAATTCCTGATCCAGATGATGAACATAGAGTATGGTATAGCAGTTAATTCTTAACCATATATAAACTCTTGAACTTGTGCTGTGTCCATAACATTTTTCCACTAAGGATAGACATACAAATTTCCATGTGAACAGCAAGACATTTTGCAATAATTGTGTGAACTAAAAGGGGAAAATTCAATCATCAATTTTAGACTACTTTATTTATACAAAGCTGTAGATATTTCTAGTGTTAATTAAACTCTTTCCAGTATAAACATAGTGAAACATTGTCCGAGAGAAGCTGTTGCTTCATTTTATGTTATTTGCATTCGTAATTTGGACTTAATAGAACAAAGTGAAGATATGTATGGGAAAAGTATGTGAGGAGAAAGTGCATGCAAAGCAGTGATGTAAATAACACAACAGAAAGAAAAGCTGAAGAAATAAAAATGGTCTGATTAGGTGTTGGTGGAAGATTTTCTATTCACCTGTGCTAGAAAGTGGTATTAAAATATCTGGTCCTCATAGAGCTTTACATTAATATAGAACTTCTGCAAAATTTAGTGTACTGATCAATGCCTGGGTTTGCGTCTCCAAGAGTTTAGATCTGCATCTGACCATCACCTAAGTAATGCACTTTGACACAGTGCATTGCTTGCATGGCTGCCAACTATAAAAAATTGTTTGCAAAGATGAACCTCACTTAAAAAGGTGATAAAGACATAATGAACAGGAGCAAAACTTTTTAATTGTTAACCCATTCTATAATGTATGTGAGGTATACTTTAAAAAACCCAGGAATGTCAGTTATGTTTGAAAGTGGCTTCAGATTAACAAGGGCAGATATAATCCCAAATACTGTTCAAAGGTCAGTTAAAAGTTTAAAGGTTAAACCCTGCTACTTTTTTTTTTAGTTCCGACTGCAAAGGTTCAAAAAGAAAGGCCCATTTCTACTCCCAGCTATGCTAGTGTGAATTTAGTATTCATAAGTGTTTGGTTTTAGTTGAATTGATGTGGATTTACAGCACAAGGACTACCAGCTCTGGCTCTACACTGTTGCTTTGCAGCTCAGTTGAAAGAACAGATTTTGTTCAACTTCCACTTTCCCATGAGAAAAAAAAAAATATCCATGCAAATTTGCCCATGGAGTTTTCAGAACAGAGAAGCTACCCAAAAGACTCTGAATACACTGTGGAGTCTGAAAATAAATATATTAAGAAAGGCAATTTCCATATTAAATAAACTGATTTGAAACTCATTGTCTCATAGCAAGAATAATATCATTTGATCAGCAGTTTTACAGCATTTTTAAATATGGTGGGAGTGTTGGATTCTATTTTACAAGAGAGGTTTGTCAACAGTAATAACATCATAACCCTATTTCTATAATAACCTAACAGAAGCCACACCACTGAAGAAAAAAAAAAAAAAAAAAAAATTTTTCTCAAATGAGATTTCCAACTAAAATAATCTGAGGAAATATATAACAACAGTGTTACTCTCAGGTGTCTTTATGTTTTCTTTTCTACTTGTTTTTCTACTATTATCAATAATAAACCCATAATATTTAGCAGAAGCTCTAAAAAATGTCAACCAATAAATAAAAGTATTCATATTTTCATCTTTTCTTCAAACTTACCTCTCGGACTCCACTCTTATCCATGTTCCCTGAGGACAGAAAGTCTTCCAAGAGGCTCAGGGTCACTCCTGATACAAATTGCAAACACAATGCACTTGAGCTCACCTCCTCTCTGCCAGCCACACTACACACCAAAAACCCATCTACAATTGCTCTGTCCTGGCCAGGTCCCTGAGCAGTAACTACTGCAGAAAGACGCTTAAAGAAAATGTACAGAGTTTAATGGCAAATATATAGAAAGAATACAAACCACATTCTGCAAATTCTCTTCTGGCATCTTCCCAGAACATTATCCAAAGAAGCAGCTGGGTTAACAGCAGCAAGAAGACTCTCAGGATCCCTTAACTCTCCTCTTGGTCTTACAGGCTCTTTGAAATTGCCTGTTCTGCTCCTGTGTACTCCGGTTAGTTCTTCCTCAGCTCCTTACATTTCATATTCCACCCCTGAGTTGTCTCTTCAAGTGTCTCCTCAACATCTCCACTGCTCCCCAAAGCTCCCACTCCCGTTCATAGCACGCCATCCTGCTGCTTTCCTGTCCCTGCGCAATGCCGATCCACGGACAGTTCTCACCTCACAGTTCTCTATCTGGTTTTCAAACCATATAGCACTATGGAGGGGCTTTTTATAATTTTTTTTTTCCTTTTGAAACTCTCTGAAGGAACTAGACAAGCTTTAAGTCATGACCTCATGCAGAAGGAAGGACCAAGTATTACATGAGAGGCAAAAATGAGAAATGGCAGCCTTTTTATAATGCATCCAAATATTCCTGAAAAAGTAGTATATGGTTCTGGAAATTACAACTGGTCTTATGACCCACCTTCCAACTTGTGGCTTGAAAAGCTGCAAGATTTTTCCTCCCCTTGATCAGATATCTGTAAAAGCACTTCCAGCAAGAAGAGTTGCTCATGCAACCTTGTGGGAATTTTTTTTTTACATTTTCAACCTTTGTAAACATTCATACAAAGAAATTCAATTGCGTGGATATGGATAGAAAATGGATCCACAAGAATGAGAACTTGGGCAGTGTATATTAATTTCAAAAGTCAAAGAAATATTGATGGAAAACACTTCTGCATCTTCCACTAGAATTACAGAATAGATTTGATTAAATATATAAACTTCACTTTGCTATTCAAGTTCATCAAGCATGTTTGGAATAACAATTATTTTATTAACATACTGACATAATCTAGTCAAACAAAATTAAATGTGTTTTGGGGTAATAAAATGTAAAGCCTTATTTAAGTATCTTTGCTTTTTTAAAACAATGGAGACACTGAGATTTCTGCAGAACTAAAATTCTATTCCCACAAAAACTTTAAAC